CTGCTGTTCCCCTTGAGATGCCTCTCTCTGCCCCTCTGAGCCCGCCTTCCATTCTCTCTTCCAGAGGAAACCGCTAGTCTGACATGGTGGTAACCACTTCCTTACATTTTTTCTTTAGTTGACCTGAGTATTCATTCCTAAACTGTATAATTTTTTGTATTAAAACAAACCATTATATAAATGGAACAGTCAGGTATATTTTATTTTGTTCATGGATTATTTTGCTTAATATATATTTCAGATTATATACATTGTGTGATGTTATATTGTTTTTGTTGTTATGCTATATTTTATATTGAATATACCCACAGTTATTAATTCTGCTTTTGATAGATCTTTGATTTTCCATTGTTTGTCCATTGTGAATAATGTTACCTTATGGTTACATGAATAATGCTTGTTCACGTTTACTTGTTTGTATGTTGCTTTATGGCATTGGTCTGAGAACTGGAACATTCCCATCACTTGGAAACTTGTTAGAAATGCCAATTCTTGGGACCCACTACATATTTATGAATCAGAAACTGTAGGGCTGGTGCCAAGTAATTTGTGTTTTATTAGGCCTTGCAGGTGATTCTTGTGAATATTATAGTTTGGAGTTCATTGCTCTAGGGAAAGGGTCAGCAGAATGTGGACATGGGCCAAATTCTGGCTGCTGCCTGTTTTTGCATGGCCTGCAAACTAAGGCTGGTTTTTATATTTTATTTTATTTGGTATTTATTTAATTTTTATCCCTCCCTTACATTTTTAAATAGTTGAAAAAACATTAAGAGGAAAATAACATTTTTTGGCACAGGAAAATTATATGAAATATAAATTTCAGAGCTTATAAATAAAGTTTTATTGTAACACAGCTGTGTCCATTTATTTACATATGGCTATTTTCCGCTATTTTTCTGCTGCAACAGAAAACTATGAACTTGTGACAGAGACCTTATGGCTTGCAAAGCCTAACATATTAATAACTATTTGGCCTTGTCTAGAAAAAAGTTTGCTTATGTGTTTTGATGTATATACTTAGGACTAAAATTGCCAGGTTATAGGGTATATTTACCTTCAACTCCTGAGATAATTCCACATTTTCTAAAGTAGTTATACCAAATATACTCTTGTCAGTAGGTTATGAGAGTTCCATTGCTCTAGATTCTTGCCTGTTTTTTCCAAATTTCTTTTTTTTCCAACTTTGCAAACCACATGACACGTTTGATCAGTCACAGCACCTTTACCATACACTGCACAAATCTTTTTTAAAAATGTTGTTTATTTTTTAGAGAGAGGGAGGGAGAAAGAGAGAAACATCAATGTGTGGTTGCCTCTCGTGTGCCCCCTACTGGGGACTTGGCCTGTAACCCAGGCATGTGCTCTGACTGGGAATCAAACCAGCAACCCTTTGGTTCACAGGCCAGCGCTCAATACACTGAGCCACACCAGCCAGGGCACAGATCTCTTTTTTGCGAGTTTCAGTTGTATTTTTACCTTTCTTAAAATAATAAAGAATAATATGCCAAAAATGTTGCTTATTCCATCTTCACTCTTAAAATGGCTGCACATTAACGAATTTTTATTTTTTAAATGCGCACTTATATGACAGCTGTCACAATACAGTCTAACAACATTGTTTCAAATGAAGTTAAAGACAAGTAAGTGCTACTAGAGCCATCTTCCAGAAAAAAACAGATGAACCTGATCGCTAACCCAACACAATGAAATGCCCAAATCTTAAGTATACCCAATTCTTGAATCCTGACAAATGTATAAACTTGTGCAACTTAAACTTATAAGAAGACTCAGAGTGTTACCATGTGAAAGTTTCCTCATGCCCCACCTCAACAAATCTGTCTTGGCTCTCACAGACGTAACTGCTACTCTAGTCTTTTTCTACTATTCACTTTTGCCTGATCTAAAACTTCAAATAAATGGAATCATAGAAGTCTTTTTATGGTCATGTGCTTTCATTTTTCTTGGGTAAATACCTAGGAGTGGGATTGGTAGGTCATAGGGACAGATATTTTTAATCTTCAAAGCAACTGCCAGATCTTTTTTCCCAAGTGGGTGTACTGTTTATACTCCCCCCAATAATGGGTGTTGCAGTTCTTCCACACCCTCACCAACATTTTTTCCCCATTTTTAATGTTAACCATTCTCACTGCTGTGTAGTATCATGTAATTGACTTTCTACTATGGTTTTAGTTTGCACTTACCTAATGACATCTTTTCATAGACTTACTGATCCTTTGAATTTTATCATTTTGTAAAATGCCTATTCATATCTTTTTCTTATTTTTCTTGGATTGATTGTTTCTTATTTTTGTCTTGGCTATTCTTAGCCTTTTGCATATCTGTATACACTTTAGAACCAACTTGTAAATGTTCACACACAGACACAGACATACACAAAAGCCATTGTGATTTTGTTTGAGAGTGTACTGACTCTATAGATCAATTTGAGGAGAATTGGTACATTTATAATACTAAGTTTTCTGGTGCATGTTTATGGATTATCTATATTTAGGTTTTCTCCCATTTCCTTCAGTAAAGTTACAGTATCTTTGTGGAGGGCTTCCTCATCATTTGTTAGATTTATTTCTCGGTGCTTGATAGCTTTAGTTTTGTTGTAAGTGGTACCTTAAAAAAATTCCATTATTGTAGTTGGCTGCTGGCATACAGAAATAGGATTGGTTTTTCTACATTTGACCTTATATCTGGAAACATTGACTAATGAGGTCAACAGGTATAATAATTTATCTGTGGATTCTTCTGACTTTTCTAAGGATATTGGCCTTATAATCTGTGAAGGATGACAGTTTTGTTTCTTTTCCATTCCTTATGCTCACGTTTGGTCTTCCCTATCTGGTTCTCATTCACGAGTCTTGATCCCTGTGTGCTTTGTCTTTGTGTCCTGGGGATGGGGTGTGGAGGGCTACGTTGAGGCCTCAGAGGGATACAGCTTTCTCCATAAGAGTTTTCACTTGTTTCTCTCATGGGTCTGGGGGCGCTGACAGTCCAGGACCACTTCAGTTAAATCCATAATCCGAGGTCCCTGGCCCACTAGATACTTGGGAACTGGACTGATCCATATGATGGCTGATGAACTTCTGGTCCTCCCCCACCTAAATCCTTCAGGGGCCCTAGAGAGTAGGGGATAGTTGATCCACTTTGGACAGAGTTTCTTTGAAGCTGCCTCCCCAGAATGAGCACAATAAAAGTGGGCTTTAAATGACAGGCCTTGGCTGTCAGCCTGGCAATTGCTAAGTAACCTGTGGGAAGTGTGATGTGGATGGTTTGGTCTAAATTACTTCATCCACATTACCTGAAACTTAAGGTGTTTATGATTCCATTGAATATTTAATTCTGGTTCCTGAGTTGTTTTGTGTTTCTATTAGTTCTTTGTTTCCTTCCCTTCCTCCCTTCCTTCCTTCCTTCCTTCCTTCCTTCCTTCCTTCCTTCCTTCCTTCCTTCCTTCCTTCCTTCCTTCCTTCCTTCCTTTCTCAAATAAGTTTTTATAGTGTCCTATTCATATAGCTGTCATCACACTTGTCTTTTATTTCTTTATACACCTGTGTGCTTTGAGTCTATTTTTTTTGTTTTTTACTACTGAACTGATGTTTTATTGTGTGCCTTGTTATATAAAATGCATTATAGTTGACATTGTGTTTGAATATATATTTGCAGGAGTCATTTTAGGCATGCCGTGAATGTACTTTGCTCCAGAGAGGATTTGAGTTTGCTTCTGCCAGGCGTCGGGTGGGGCATGAGTCGGGGACCACCTTAAAACCAGTTCAAGGCTTGGGTTTTTTTTCTAAATGACCATGGCATTTGAGCAGGAGGGTCTCCACGGAGCTAGAATGAAGTTAGATACCATCCTTCTTCTGGGCCTGACTTTGTATATTAGTCTTCTGTGCTGTAAAGAAAATGCTTTTAAAAATTTCTTCAGTGTTTTTTCTTTGATTTCTGTGAGAGGTTGTTCTGAATAATGTAGCTTGCTCTACTGAAATAAGATCTACTGCAATTTTTAAAAACCAAGTACCTGTTCTTGAACATTTGTATTTTCTTAATATTACAAACAGTATTGTGATGTAGAAAAATTGCTCCTATTTGTGTGCTTGTCCTGTTGTTTACTGAAGATTAACACCCTAGAAGTAAATTGTTACTGTCTGTGTGTTTTACCACTTCCTGATACGTTTTGTCCAAGTGCCTTTCGCAGAGATTGTCCCAACACTGTGTACCCTGGATTTTCTAACTTTTGCCCTTTGACAGGTAGAAAACAACATGACATTATTATTTTAATTTACTTTTATTATTTTCACTTACATGAATAGTGGCTGTAGTTTACTTTTGAATTACGAGTATTTATGCCTAACTTCTAAAGGGCTTGTTGAGAGTAACTCAGATATCCAGTGATGAAAATACTTCCTGCGGTTTGTCTTTTATATTTGGCCTTAATCTGCAGATCTTTTATTTTGCTGCATAAAAGTTTATAATTTTTATCTAGTTAGATATATCACTCTTTAAAACCACAATTAGTCTGAGATAATAGAATTACAGTTGTTTTTAGCAAAACTAGTATTTTAAGTTTGGAGTTGTGTAGAAAATTGAGAAATAGTTAAATCATTCTTGACTGCAAATAGGTATTTTAATAAATTAACATAACTCTTGAATTGGGATAATGCTCATTTTCAGACTATATTAACCTGAGTTTTTATTGTAATTTTTTAATATCATAGTACTCTCTTTTTTTCTGTTATTGTTCTTTTGGTTTATGTCATCAGAAATTGGCAGAGTAGAAATCTGAAAGTATATTGAATTTAAATTTTCTTTTATATTTGCCTTCATTAATGACAATAATGATTTGGTAATCATATTAGGAATGATTTGAAACATCCAGGTTTAAAAAATTTTATAGAAATATAAAATCTTCACCAGAACAGGAAAGTATTGTATAGAAACTGGGTGAAGACTCACTTTTTTGAGTGATTTAAAATATGTTTTGTTTTATTTAGATAAGTGATGAAGAGAAAAGTCTCCGACAAAAGGATATTATTGTTTCATCACCCAGTTTAGGTGGGACTGTGCCGGAGTTAGTTTATAAGGTATGTAAAGTTTTAAAATACTGTCTAGGCTGTTAAATGTATCACACTGAGCTCTGTACATGTATTTAATGGACCCGTGTGTGTATAGCCTCCCTTCCCCTGTGCCGCATGCCTTTCCTCTTCACCCAGGTAGGAGTGAGCCAGCATTCTGTGTTGGGCATCTGGCCTCCACAGGCACCACCATGTCCTGCCTGGGCTCTGACTCCCTGCGGGCCTTTCTCCAAAGGGAATTCTCTTCTCACAGTGCTCAGGCTTTTATACTGCCTGCTGGGCTGCCCCCTGCAAGGACACTCCTGTCCCTGCCTGTTCTGGATGACTGCTCTGCGTGGAAGCCCTCTTTGCTGTTGTTGGGCTCTGACTGCACACTTGTCCCAACTTCCCGTGTGAACGTGGTTGCATTCCACTTGGGCTGTCACACATGCTCTCCTGTGGCCAGACCTTCTTCGCCCCACCCAGGTCCCAGCATCATGCACGGGTTGCCTCTGCTGTTCTCTGTTCCTTAGCACAGATACCTGCTTTACTTGAATCCATTAAATGTTTTTTTGGACTAAATAGTTCCAGAAGGGGAAGAGGGGAAAGCTGAAATTCATTTTAAAATTTGGTAACTGCAACTCCCCTACCCCCAGTTTCCTTTGACAAGAATATACTCTTTATTACTGTCGAGTGCCAGTAGTTTAAAATCCTGCCTCCACATTAGCTCCCATTCAGACCTCCCTGCTTCTACAAGTCAGACCGTTGTTCAGTCAGCCTTCCAAACTTTGAGTTTGGGAATGTGTATTTATCCCTCCCACATCACACATTTCCCGTTATTCTTTGTTGATAATCATTTTTTGCTTCTGCTTAGGCATTTTATGTCCATTGTGAACACCCTAGTAAGCTAGGATCATGGATTTTAGAGCTCAGAAACCCAGGAGAATCAGCACCAGAGTGTCCAACCAGCGTCTTCTGTGCCGCATGCGGCCCAGGATGACTGAATGCGGCCCCCATCACAAACTCGTAAATTTCCTTAAAACCTTTTTTGGCTCATCAGTTTTCCACAGTGTTTGTGTATTTTACTTGGTGCCTAATACAACTCTTCTTCTTCCAGTGTGGGCCAGAGACACCAAGAGGTTAGACACCCCTAGTGTAGACTGTCTCTTCCCGCCCTGTCCTGGTTTTATAGGTTTGCCCACTGAGGTTTAGAAGCATTCATTAAATGTACTGAAATTGTAGTCTAGTAAGTAACAGAACTTGGATGAAAAGCTCACATTTCCAAACACTGCCTCCTTTTCTTGCCTGGATGATTGACATAAAGCCTCTTCCCGCCCCTCTGATGTGTCCTGTGTAACTTCCCTGTTTGGGATGGAGCACAAACGTACCACTACCCGGGAGAGCTGTTTGAGTTCCCCGGCGTGTCCGTCTTGTCTTCTCAACGCAGTGACGACCTGCTTCAGGACATGGGCCATGTCACTGTCCTAGAAATCTGTAAAGTAATTAACTGTCAGACTCACATAATCTATTTATTCATTGTGTGATGTCATTGGATATATTGAAGCATGGTGGGTGTGAAGAATTAGCATTTCCCTAAAACTTGGGTGAATCAGCAATTTTTTAACATAATTTTTTACCGTATTTTTACGAAGGAGAAAAACTATTGGAGAATACTAATATATTGTGATGATAGCTTAAAATTTTAGTATAGTTTATAGGGCTTTAAAAATTTATGCAGACTAGTATTGGTTTTTTTAAAATACTGGCAAATATTTAATAGAAAAACTGCTTATTATTATTTCTTATTATGAGATTAGCTATTTTTTTTTTTACAAGCCTTTCTTTTGATTCTTAAACATTGTTTTTGTGCCAAAGTCTTTTTGAACTCAGAAATAGTCTACAAAATGTCATTTTGGTTCTTATACTTTTCTTTAAAAAATTAAAAAAAAATTTTAATTATTGTTCAAGTGCAGTTTTCTGTCTTTTACTCCCATCCCAGCTCACTACCCCCCAGTGCTCCCCACCTCCCTCCCATTTCCACCCCCCTTAGTTGTTGTCCATGTGTCCTTTATACTAGTTCCTGTAAATCCTTCCCCTTTTCCCCCTGAAATTCCCTCCCCTCTCCCCTCTGGTCACTGTCCCCCTGTTCTTTATTTCAGTGTCTTTGTTTTTATTTTGCTTGTTTGTTTGTTTTGTTGTTTAGCTTCCTGTTAAAGGTGAGATCATATGGTAAGCCAGGTGTTGAAAGACAAATACCATATGAGATTAGCTTTTGAAGACTATTTCTCTAGAGAAAGAATGGAACATAGGTGAAGGAATTTGTGTTCACTTGTTAGTAATTTTCAGCACTGAATGTATTGTGTGCAAATTAGGATGCTGCTTGTTGTCGAATAAAACGTGGAATATGTCACACGAGTGGAGTACAGTGTGTGCAGAGGGCTGGGGGCGGGGCCTTGAAATCCTGGGGACTGTAATTTGTGCACTTATGTGGTAAGTAAAAAGAAAGCATTTAGCTTGATTTATTATTTTTCAAAACATCTACCTGAAACAAACATGGTTTTAGACTGCTACTTGTTTGTAATGCTAATTGTATACTTTTAAATTGATTAAAATATGTAAATAGATTTTTTTTCTTTCTGGTTGGCTGGGATTATTGACTTTCTCATAGGAAAAATTTAATTTGGACTTGGTACATATGAAGACTTGGGAGGATTTCAAAATGACAGATATTGCTTATTTTTCCCATTTCATCCTGATTTCAGATCCCTTTTGCTGATGCTCTGGACTTGTTCCGAGGAAGAAAAGTGTATTTGGAAGGTGGCTTTGCTTACGTACCACTTAAGGACATCGTGGCAATCATTCTGAATGAATTTAGAACCAAACTGTCCAAGGCTTTGGCAGTAAGTATTTTCACTTTGTTACCATATTCACTTTCATATTCACTCTATTTCCACATTCACATTTTTGATGAGACACCCTTGCTAGTTTTGTTCTTTACTTCTTAAGGAAAAATTTAATTTTCATAATGATACTCAAATTGCTTATAATGTTGTATTGGTAATTCTAAAGTGCCAGGTTTTTATTTGTTCCTATCCATAGTTAGTTTTCCTATATATTTTTTTTCTCTTAGTAATACTAATGGAGAGCTGATTAATTCGTGGGTGGCCTCTGGTTTTCTTCAAGGTCGTGTCTCTTTGCTTGGAGATGAATTTCTTATAAGACCCTTCACAATTAGAATGGTCTGAGGTGGATGGAACCCTGAAATTTTGTTCTAAATTGGCATTTTGTGTTAGTAGAGGACAATGGAGAAGAAAGTCTGTACATTAAGTACTAACAACAGTGACATGATAGTGCTGCAACAGACAGCCCGCTGCTGAGTGAAATTGGTGTTAGTGTGTCGAATAAATAGTGCGAGCACTGTTTTGTAAGAGATTTTGTTGAAGGTGTTACACTCAAGTGTAACATCTTAAAGATATCTATATTTTCCAGTGTTATGCTCTAACGTAAGTCTAGTTGTTTTTATATGTTTTGGTACTTAATGCAGAAGAGAACTGCAAAGGTATGTGATAAGGTTCTTTTTAAGCTACACTGATTACATCATAAGTAACTTTTCCTTTTTAGTTAAAAATTGTAATTTTTTTTGGTGTAGTTCATTTTTATTATTGACTCTCCTGGGTTAATTAAGCATGTGTAATTCAGCTCTATTAGCATTTGGGAAGACCAAAATGTTAACTCTGGTTTTATTAAATAGAGTAGTTTATGAAAATGCCTAGCACAATAGGTGTTTAATAACTGTTAATATTTGTTCTCCCTCGCTAATCTTATTTTTTTAATCCTCAGTAGTGTTGTTTTTACAGTTTCTTTCCTTGTCTTGTGATTTGCCCTGTGCCGTAATCTGTTTACAGGTAAAGATAGTATCTATCACTACTAGCAATCTCTGTAACAGACACATATCTGCCCACTGGTTGGCCATTCTCCTTGTTTTATTATTATTGGTTTTGTTCCCTCATTTTGCTTTTTGACATATGTGAAATGGCCGTATACTTTCCGGGATATTGGGTATCCCTGGCTCTAATCCTCCAAATGTCAGTAGTGCCTCCCGGTTCCCATTACAACCAAAAGTACCAGCAGGTATTTGAGAAAGCTTCTGGACTGTGGTATCATCCTGGGGCCCATCCAGTGGTTTCTTCCTCCGTTCCGGATTGTGGGGTTGTGCACGTGATACAATGTCCTTCTGGCTGAAAATACGAGAAGTTGTTTGGGGGCTTCTGAAAAAAGCTTTCCTTGCTAATAACAGTGGGCACAGGTGTGTTCGCTCTGCCGCTTATCTTCCTGACAATGTAATGTACGAAGAAGGGTATGCGGCAGATCTTTGCAAAATTTTTTCCCTTCTAATTTTGGGCAGAAGATGGGGGATCTAAATATATGGAGATTAAGGCTAAAGCTCTATGAGTTCCTAAGGTAGTAATACATTTATTTTTTCCAGCACTTAAGCTTTGTGCCTCCCTCCTGCTCATTCTATCCTCCTTCCAACATACTAGAAGAAATTTTAAAATGGTCTTTTAGAATTTTGAAATAATCACAAAGTTTCAGAGAAGTTAAAAGTTATAAACAATACTGTTTTTCCCTAAATCACTTGCGAATAAGTTCCCAGCCTTATGTCTCCTCACTCCCAGTACTTTAGTGCAGGGGTCCCCAAACCTCACCTCCCCACCCCCAGTCGGTGGCCTGTTAGGAACCCGGCAGTGAGCGAAGCTGGCCTGAGCTCCACTTCGTGGCCCCGCTTCCCTCCAGAGCCCTGCCTGCTGTCTCCCCATCCGCAACCCCCCACTTTCCAGGAACCCAGTCCTTGGTGGCACTAAGTTGGGGACTGCTGCCCTAGAGTGTAATACCTGCAAACAGGGACGTCCTTCCCCATAACCACAGTTCAGCTATCAAAATAAGGAAAGCAGCATTGATATGTGACTACCACTAATCCCCGAGCACCTTCCAGGTTTCACCAGTTCTCTCGGTCATGCCCTGTGTCTGTCCTAAACCACAGGTGTTACTTAGTTACTGCCTTTTCTCTCTCCTTCAGCCTGGAACGGGTGTTTAGTGTTTTCTTGACTTTCACAACTTTGTTAGTTTTGAAGACTATAGGCTAGTTGCTTTATAGAACACCTCTTAATTTGGGTTTATCTGATGTTTTTGCATGTTTAGATGCATGTTATACATCTTAAGCAGGAATATCACAGAAGTGAGGGTATATTTTCATTGCATACTATCAGGAGACACTTGATTTTGATTCATCCCAATTTTGATGGACTTTATTTAACAGTTTATTTACCTATTCTCTTGTCGATGTACATTTGAGTTTTGTTTCCTTTCTTTTGGTTCTTATACTGCTGCTCTGAACATTCTAGGACATCTTTGGAAAACACATTTCTCTGGACTCTGTGTGGAGGATTGGAATTGTCGAGTACAGGGTATTTCAGGTTCTGCTTCAGTGGATTCAGACTTGCTGAACTTGTCCTTTTTGCCAAGGGTTGTGGGGAGCTCTGGCCTCAGTGTCATTAGATTTGGTGGAAGAGGGGCTGTGACTTGCTGCTTCAGGCACTGCTTGGCTTTGTCCTGGATAGGTCAAGGCCAGGTCTGGTGGAGAGGTTGTCTAGAGAACTCTTTGCTTTATCATTCAGGAGAGCTGGTGGAGTCTGTTGCCTGGGAACCTGTCCCGACAGCTGTGGGAAGGAGCTGGAAGGAAGGGAGGGCATTTCTGTTCAGGGCTACCGTGGAGGAAAAAGCTAAACCTACAGCCATGGTCTCTTAATACTGTCCTTTCTCACAAGGAAGATTTTTGCCTTGGAGTATGTAACTGAAAAATTTCAGCCCTGTGAATGGAAATATTCTAGTATGATGAGAAAAATTGCCCTAAATATGAAAAAAGTGTATTTTAGTAGTGGTAGAGGATGGAATAAATGGGGCTGGGAAAGTCTGAGTTGGTGAAGGCTTTATTCCAAGTGTTATCTTCAAGTTTGCTCTCAGCCTGTGACCCTGGGGTTTTGATGATAATGTAATCAATCTGGCTTTTGAACATGCTCTGGGACTAGTGGAAGGTGGCCATTACCTTCACATTTGACGAGAACTCTTTTCTCATCATGCTGTTCTTTTGAGACTCAGCTGTGGCCTCACTTTCTCCAGCGAGCCTTCTCTAAGCCTCGAGATTGCGTTAAGTATCTCTCCTTTGTGCTCCCGTAACACTCACCACATGACCTATGGTGAAATTTTTCCAATTGTGTGTTTCTGCCCTCAACTAGAATATAAGCTTTTTGAGAGTAAAGAGCTGCCTTAATGAAAACTTCCTCTAGTGTAGCATCTAGCCCATAGGAGCAGCGCTCAGTAAAATTTTGTTGGACTGATAGGTACTGAATGATAATAACCTCTACTTGTCCACAGTTTGCTGTTTGTGCATTTGTTCCTTCCATTAGCCTCTGAGAGAGACAGAGGTTTAATGTGCATTATACAGATGAGGAAAATGTGGCTCTGAGAGGCTAAGTAATTTATCCAAGGTTTTTGCTGGGGCCATAATTGAATATCAGGTTTCCTAATTGTAATTCTGAAGATCTTTTGATGGTAACTGTTTCTTTGGAAGGAGTTGTATTATTAGGAAATTTAGATCTTCACACTCTGAGAAAATATTGGAAGGAAATTATATTAGGGTCCAGTTACAGAGCAGGCAAAAAAGGTGAATTTGGAGCTGAGATGCAATACATTGATGACCAGTTATGGAAAGAACGAGGGAAGGATATATTCTTGCTTCACATACCAGTTTTAGAAGCTTTAGCCAGTTCCTTCAGTTAATAGTTTATTTTTTCAATAACTTTTTATTTGTTCACCCATGTATTGGGTACTAGGGACACAGTATTTAACAGGACAGATGAAATTTCTTTTTTTAATAAAGCTTATATTCTATTGGGAGATAGACAATTACTAAAGACATAAACAATAGCAATATTGTTTATGATATGAAGGAGCCCGCTGAACAAATATAGAGGAAAGTGCGTTCTGGGCAGGAAAAGTCACTAATGCAAAGGCCCCAAGGAGGGAATCTTGGCATTCTTGCAGAATTAAAAAGGCCAGTGTAGCTGAAGTGTCGTGAGTTAGCAGAGAGTAGTACAAGATGAGACCAGAAAGCCGAGATGTAGACCTTTATATAAACCGGGGTAAAGAGTTTGGGTTTTAGCTTAGTGTCCTTGAAAATCATTAGATGGTTTCGAGTAAGGGAGTGATGAGATCTGACTTATATTTTAAATAGAGGACTGCAGCTGCTTCTTGAAAATCACTTTGGTGGGTATACAGTGGTTCAGTTGGTCGGAATGTCATTCCACAAACCAAAAGGTGTGGCAGGTTCGATTACTGGTCAGAGCACATGCCCTAAGTCATGGCTTCAGTCCCCAGTTGGGTGTGTATGAGAGACAGCTGATCAATGTTTCCCATCCTCTCTCTCTCCCCCTCTTTCCTTCTCTCTAAAATCAGTAAGCATGCCCTCAGTGAGGAGGAAAAAAAGAAAAACTAGTTTGGGAGTTTATCACATTAATCTGGATGGTGGCTTGTAATTGAGTGGAAACCTGTGAGAGAAGCAAATGGATTTCAGTTGTGTTGTTGAAGTATTGTTGACACGGTAGACTGGGAGTGAGAGACAAAGAGGAATCAGGAGAGTAATAACAATGGTACCTTAAACTCAATGAAAATTTAATATTCGTCAGGTGCTGTTCTAAATATTTGACATGAATTAATACATTTAATCTTCATAGTAACCCCATCTGGTGCATACCGTTATTACCTTCTGAGGCTTATAATATCTTTGCACAGGTAGTGAAAGCAGAGCAGGGCATGAATTCGTGCACTCTGGTTTATGACTCTG